CCTCGTCTCTCTCTCTCTCTTCCTATAACGCTCACACTGTCCTGGTCTGTTTTCTCCACATAGCAAATAGACAGGCAAGGTTTTTATTGCAACTCTACAAGAGAATTGCCCAAACACTGGCTGAAATCCTGTTGTGCAAGTTACACTGTGCGACTTAGATGAGATCATCAGCCATGGCGCAGCCATTTCAGGGGAATTAAAAGCTTCCTATCTCCATCTCAAGGTTCAAGGAATCCCTAAGGATCCCATTCTTTCTGGGAAATCCTTCAGGAGCTGCAGAGGGACGGAGGGAACTCTAAAGCCTCAAAATTGCTGCCAGGACTGATGGCAGTCAATTGGGGGCTTTAAAGTGTTTCCTCTTCTGTTCCACAGCTTTCAAAGGCTTCCCAAGGATGAAAGGGATCCTTGAGAACTGGGAGTGGGTGGGAAGTAGGAAGCTTTCTATTTTCCCCCAATGACTGCAACATGACCATGGATGATCATGTCATCCAAGCTGCATGGCATAACTTGCGCAATACAATTCCAGCTACTGAATCTGATATTGAGTGCCATGTTCTGCATTTTGAAAACCTCTACTGTATTTCCATATTCAAAATTAATATTCAAGTTTCTAGACCTCAGGGTTGCACAGGTAGGCTGAAACATATCCTGGCAGTGTCTGGTAGAAGATCAGAAGTAGAGGAGTAGGCACCAGGAAGTATATATAATTGCAAACCACTCTAACCCTCTGCATAACCAGTGGGAATAGAAGAAAATGATGACAAATAGATATACAAATTAGCTAACTCTTGCACCAAAAAAGAGTTATCTCAGTGATTAATTTTTGATTTATTGATAAACAATATAATTTCTTACACAGGCTTAAAAAGCTAAAGGAGAATTCAGATCCTTTTGTTAATCAAAATCAAGGAGAAACAGTGCCTGAGCATCTCACTGCATGCCATGACTGGCTAGGGGTGGGCCTTGATGAGCACCAAGGACAGGGGAATCAAGCTCCAAAAATAATGCATCAACTAGCTTGAAATGGTTCCACCGAGCCTTCATTTAGCTTAGAACAGGAGTCTTCGACTTTTTCTGCTGTTGTGGAACCCACCTCTGTACTCCAACCTGTAATATGGGACCTACTTTTAATGTTCTTACTCTGTACAACTTTCACCTTGTCTTGTTTCATCCACTTACTGCAAAAACACTTTAGAACACCAATAACTAGATAATGGTAGTAGTACGCAGAAGCAGTAGCTCACCCATGATGGCCAGTAAACTAGAGTAAACACAGGAACACAGGAAAGTGTCCTATAATAATGTAGATCTTTAGTCCATCTAGCCCAGTATTTTTTTTAAAGTTGACCAATCCCAGTCAAACAGACTGAATTGACCCCCAAAATTTAACAGGTTTAGTTTCCAAGTAAAAACTTTAATAAAAATTAAAGATGAAACTTTCAACAGGAAATAACATTCTGCCATATTCAGGATACAAATGGCATACTAACTACATTGCATACGGTAATATACACTCAATGTGATCACATCACAAAACATTCCAGGTGGACTACTTGCTTAATCAACTTACTGCTGTCCTCAAGAGATCAACTAAAGGAAGCCACAAGTCACTAAGTCTTTGTCCTTCCTCATAGTTCACCACGTTACTTCTTACCTTGATCTCTAAAGCCTCTCTCATCAGCTTCAAATTCCAAGAGTGTGATTGAAACAACTTTTTAGTTTCATTAAAGTGGATACTGTGCCCAGTTTCCCAACCATTTTTTGCTAATGCAGACTTTTCTTCTTGGCCCAGTCTAAGATAATGCTGATGTTCCTTGCATCAAATTTCAGTGCTTCTTCCTGTCTGTCCGATATATGTCGAACCACATGAACATGAAATCTCATAAACACCAGGCACCCCCAAACCCAGAGAATCTTTTCACAGGCTGCATGCACTGACTGGTCTTTTTAAAGGGTCTAAATAGCTCAGTATTTTTATTTATGTATTTATTTGTTTGTTTGTGTGAAATGGAAAATAAAAGAGAAGAAAAGAAAGAGAGTGAGCCATCCCCTCATACGTCTGTAGAGGAGGAAAGGGATATGGAGAGGAAAGAGAGGTAGAGGTAGTGAAAGTTATAGAAAAGATGAAGGAGTTAAAGGCGGGAAAAGAGGGGGAGGAGTCAGGGAGAAGGAGGAGAAAGGAGATACAGTAGATGTCTTCTTAACATTGGAGGAGGGAGAAAAATCGAGAGACAAGAAAAGTGGTAGTGTTGGAGGAAGAACGGCAGGAGGTAGAAGGAGAGACCAGAGTGTTTAAGGTACCACAGAAGGAAAGATTGAGCTGTGAAAGTCGGGAGCACAAAGAAGCAGAGATAAAAAGGGAGGAAGGAAAACTGATTATAGAAGGACTAGGACCGGAGGAATGGGCGATCTTAGTCTACCCTTGAGGACAGGGTCCCTGGAGGAAGGTGATCTGACCACGACTGGTTCAGCGAAACAAGAAGCCACCAGAAGGACGATATGTGAGGTGAGGAGTGGCTGTTTGAGAAAGCCAATGGACCAGGAGCGATTCGGACAGGCCTTCCGTTAAAGAAAAATAGTTATGAAGAAACGTTGCCATTGTTATGGACAGATGTTCCTGCTGGTGTTGAACATGTTGATCCCATAGAGGTCTGTTATGGACAGATGTTCCTGTTGGTGTTGAACACGTTGATCCCATAGAGGTTGTCATTGAGAAACCACCAAGTTTTCTTAATAAAGAGTTTGTTGTTAAAGAACCCTCTCTCTTGTTGTTTCCCGCCAAAACTAAGGAACTGGAAGTGTCAGATACCAACAAAGAACTAGATCACAGTTCGTTTATTTCACTCTTTGCCAAATGAAGGGAATGAAGGCAGTGTAGAATAGCTAAAAAGTGTATTCAATCATTATCATCTCATGATCAGAGCTACAAAAATTTACGTGCTGCGCCAATACTTAACAGATACTTAGGTTTTTGGTCAAAACTTGTATCTGTTATATAATACTAGTCAATGCTTTTATAATTTTTATTGACGGTGCCTGATATTTCTGAATAGTCATCTTAGAACTGAAGAGCCGAAAAGTCTTGTTGAGTCCAGCTCCTGTCAAGGAGACACAGCAAGGAATTGAAGTCACAGGATTCTTTCTTACCAGACCTTTGTGGAGATTCCAGGTCTTCCCTACTAGGCACGGGCAGACTTCTGTCTTTAGACTGCAATTCCTAGCATTTTCCAATAATTACTCAGGCATAATCCCATGAGCTGCATTCCAAAAATATGAATATTGCTCAAACCTATTCCCTGCTGATCTCCTACCCAAAAACTCAGGAAGCTTAACTCTGCTTAGCTCCCAAAAATCAGACAACTTCAGGGTCATGTGACAGTAAGACATGTTGATGGATAAGTCATGAGATTAAATTGATTTTTAAAATGAACAACCACTTGCTCTTGTTCACCCTCAATGCCATGTAACTTCAAACACAAATAAACTTAAATCATCCCATTCTCAACCATCCCAAGCACAAATGGTTCATCCAAACTCGTTCCCTTCTGACTCAGTTTCTGACTTAAAAAAAAAACTTTCTTAAACCATTGCCCTGAACCACAAGGCCCTCTTCCCCTCTCAGTTCAGAAGGAAGGGGGCAGGGGCTTTAAGTGTATACACTAGCTAGCACAACACTTCAGAGTACATTCTTCCATTTGCTTCTGTCACCATGGTGCCAAGAATCTCCTCCATAAAGCCCTGCATACCAGGAGCCCCTAACCCAGCAGTAAAAGGCCAAATGGCACTCTGGTAGGAAAAAACATAGGTTGGAGAAGCACAATCCAACAATAATCTGCTGCTTGTTGCTGCTGCTTGGGCAGCTGGCTTGGAAGCCTGCATGGTCGTTTCGACCCTTTCTGGCTGAAGAGACCACAATGACCCCTTCTCTCTTCAGCACAGTACAGTACCTGTTTCTACATGGATATAGCTTCTGACTTCCACAGTTTGCCTTGAGTCCAACCATCTGATGAATGCCTATTTTTTATTACATCATTTCCATGCCGCCTTTCTTCCAATGTAGATTAGTACCGAAGGCAGCTTGCAAACGATTTAAAAAACGGTACAGCTAATAACCCCAATAAATTATAATACTAAAACCCATTTAGACATATAGGTCAATATTCTGTTTCAGGAAAATCATGCGTGGAAGGGTTCAGTCCATGTGTGATTCCTTTTCTAATACAATATTGCTCAAACAAGTAACCTCTTGCAACAGTGTAAAGCCTCTTGGTTTCCAATGGGGTGATCTCTGGCTTCTGCACATGCAAACCAGAAATTACCAGGATGAATGCAGGGCACTGCCAAAAACAAAGCCCTAACATTCTGCATTTTTAAACAGAATACTGGTGAGACGATTTAAAAGACTGCTGATGAGGGGAAAAAAACACTTTAAAACACTTCAGAAAACACAGAAAGCCAGAGCAAAAATGTACAGCGTCTTGTACTTTTTTCAAGCCTCCAATTCAATTGCTGAAAGCCAGCCAGGAGGGGGGCCACCTGGATTTCTGAGAGTGTTCCATCATTCTGGGGGCAACTACTGGAAAGGCCCAAATGTGCCATGAGAGCAATGGGACCACAAAGAACAGCCTCCACTACAGATCTTAAGTAGGAGATAGAGTCCTTCAAATAGCCTAGAACAGAGGTCGTCAACCCCCAGCCTGCGGCCCCGTGCAGGTTCGTGGCCTGGGCTGGGACCAGGCCGCAAAGACAGACCTCCCACTCCCCCACACACTCCCTCCTCACAGCTGCTTTGTGCACATGCGCACATGCCAGCACCAGCGTGAGCATTCCCTTACCCTTTCACGCATGCGCCTGAGTGCCTGAGTGCCCATGCAAAGGGGTTGGCAAGCATGCGTGCTGGCATGCAGGTGCCCCTGTGCATGCGCAAAAGGGTGGGGGAGCGCTCACACCAGCGCTGGTGGGTGGGCGGGCACTCCCCCACCACTTCATGCATGTGCCCAAGAGAGCGCATGCACCTGCAGGGGGAGGTGCATTCCTTGGAGGCTCAGCCAGGCCGCGGTCCCAAAAAGGTTGTGCACCGCTGGCCTAGAAGACCCAAGTCATATCCTAGGGTGTAATCGGTCATAGCCAGCTGGCGCTATGAAGCATATCAGCACAATTGTTGCTTCAAACCACTGCAAACCTTTTGCTTATGAGAACCTGACCTAAGAACATAGGCTAGTCACAGAATCAATTTTCTTCCTTCATATGTAGGTCTCTCCATGCTTTCTTCCCTCCACTGTAGGCCCTGAGTTGCACACAGCCTGCCCGCCCCCTCTGCCCCATTACCAAACGGACCTTTCACTCCCCCTATGCCCACAGAGAGATTAAAGACAATCATTCTACGACTGATCTATCCACCCTAACATCCCTCGGCCATCACGCAAGCTGGCCTGTACTTTCTGTCAAAATCCTTTATTGGGATGGAGAGTCCAGCTCCCCTAGACATGATTTCCCACCCATCTTGCCCCAGGCAAGTGTTTCCCAGACCTCTACGTGCCATGATTCCCTGTCTGCAGAACAAGCCTGAGGCCGGGGCGGTTCCCGGGGGGTCACCGGAAGATCCTGTCCCTCCTCAGCTGCCGCCTTCTGATCATAGATGCTCTAATGGCATTCAGCTCAGCAGCAGAAGATAAATCCATTCCCAAAGAGGACAGAGGAGTTGGGGGCAGGGGCATGTTTTGCACAAAACAGTGCCCAACGCCCCACGGGTGCGCTTGCCTCCTGGGCTTCCCAGGAGAGGAGGACGCCAGGTGAGCACGGGAGAAGGGCAGACCCCTGGAGCCCGAGAAAGCCTGCCTCTCCTGCAGCTGTAACTTCTGACACAGCTCCCTACCTGCTGTTTGGACCGCCTTCCCAGGTCCTCGCGCCTCCAAACCTGCAAGCTTGGAGACCTTGGGGTGATGAACGGCAGGTTCCTGTGGGCCAGCAGCCAGCTTCTGAGAGTTGGACTTGGCGCAGAGGGGAGCTGGGCAGGTCCTCTTGTCCCCCGGGATGACGGTGGCGGTCGCCATGCTGTGTGCGATCAGCACCCTTCTGTTCGGGGGTTCGGGTCTGAGCTTGTTGGGCAGTTTATACCTCTGAGATGGCGAAGAGTCCTTGCCGGGTGGCGCTTTCGTCTTCACTTTGTTCTCTTTCCCAGAGGCGGCTGCTTCCACACCCTTCCCATTTGTTGAGGTTGCTGCTGCTGCCCAGCATGGGGTAGGTGCCCGTGGGATGCTGGGGTTACTGCGTCGATAGACCAGCTTCAAAGGCTTGGGCTGCTGTGGAGCACAGCTGTTCCCGGTATCACTGGGGACAGGGCTTCTGTGGGATGTGTTCCGTGGCTTCTTGACCATGGAGCCTTCTACCAAGAGGCTAGTGCCAACGTAATGGGGAATCTCCACTGCAGCCTGCAAGCAAAAGAGGGAAGTAATGCACGACTACTTACGTAGGAGGCACAGTTTGGCTCAGGTGGCGGGAGTACGGCAACAGGAATAAATACAGCAATGACAGAATTGCCACGAAATTTCTCAAGGTCTCCAAGGGTTCCACTTTCAGGGACCGAGTTGAACCTCTGAGATGTACCTGCATCTGATGCTGTGTGATTTTGCAATGGTCAACATCACTCATGGCACACTAGGATGTAACTTCAGATTATTACTAGGAAACGGTGAGAAATCAAACACATTAAAAAGAGTCTCGTGATGCTTCCCTTTACAGCTCTTAGTTCCACCTGTGCCCTTTGTACGCGGAACACAAGTTGCAATGTAACGATGGTTCAAAGTAGGATTCACATTTGAATGTGCACTGTTTTATCAATACAAAGACAGAAAGGACAATCAGAAGGTCCTGGAAAAAGATACAGATTTATTTTGCTTTCATATTTGGGAACTGCCTAGGAAAGCTAAACAGAGGCTGGTTCAGATAAGCCATGTACAGATGTCACAGGTAGGTAATGTGAATAACTATTTATTTAAAATAATTTTGCCTCGCCTTTCTCCTTAAAAAGGACCCAAGGCGGCTTGCATCATTAAAATACAACATTTAAAGATAAAAACAGTAAGTACACAAATACTAAAAAGGGACAAACAAATTTGACACTAAAACACAGTAAATAAAAGCAACACCAAAAACACATTCAAAGCAGTAAGGCACAACCATCCATTAAAAAACCCCGCTCAAGCACCCAGTAGCAGTAAGGCACAACCATCCATTAAAAACCCCCGCTCAAGCAGCCAGTCACTAAGGGAAAGTCTGCCTTAAGAGAAAGGTCTTAGCCTGCTTGGGGAAGGACAGCCAAGATGGGGCCAGTCTGGCCTCCTGTGGGAGGGAGTTCCAAAGTCTGGGAGCAGCCACAGAGAAGGCCCATTCCTTGTCTCCATCAAACGTATCTGTGAAGGTAGTGGGATCAAGAGAAAGACTTATCTTGATGATCTTAACACTTGAGCAGGCTCATAAAGGAAGATGTGGCCCCTGAGATAGCTTGGGCCCAAGCTATTTAGGGCTTTATAGGTTAGAACCAGCACTTTGGATTGTGCCCTAAAACAGATCAGCAGCTAGTGGAGTTGCTGTATTGGGGGGTTACGTGATCCCTGTGGCCAACCCCAATTAGCAATCTGGCTGCCACAATTTGGACACGCTGAAGTTTCCGGACACTTTCCAGAATCAGCCCCATGTAGAGAAACAGAACAGAACAGAATAAAACAGAACAGAACAGAATAGAATAGAAATAAACACAAACAAGTTAATATATTTTAACATGGGGGAAAAAAGATGACTGTTCTGACTTCATTTATTCTGATTGTCTGCATCTGGGAAAGCAGATCATACGATCAAGAAAGAAGGAGCACCAGAACTCTGGGGAAGGTTTACTAGGGAAGTTAAATAAATAAAAGCTTACCAAAAGGCAGGGAGAGGCAGCGGATGCCAACCCCTGAAACTAAGGCAGGCCATTTACCTGCTTGTAAATGAGCTCAAAGTTTCCAGTGTTGCAGTTGCGGTCATACTTCCGATCAATGACCACACGGAGGGTATCTTCCTGTACACTGGCACACAATCGGGTGGTGACGGCAGTAGAGGCGGCCATGGTAGGGCTGGCGTTGATCTCTATCAGCCACGGCTGGTAGTTTTCTCCAAAGAGAAAGTCTGCGCCGTAGAGCTCGAAGCTGTTTTTGCGGAACTCCACCAAGTCCTGGGAGGTCTGCACGGCATGAATAATTGCTGCCTTCATGCCGGGCACGATCACCTGAGACCAAGCCTCTGGTGCTCCTGTCTCCCTCAGGTGGGCCTGGAACTGCTCCGATGACCACATGTTGTCAGGGGGGAGATCCGAGTGGCGGTTAAGGGAGTTCTCATAGTGCTTTTGGACGGAATTATTGCAGAGGTGGATAGAGCTGGATGGCAGAGAAAGACGGGGTCAGTAACCAAGAGCTGATCCGATGCAACAGGTAACAAACAGCTCTAGACCTGAAGATACAGATTCCGTTCTCACTAAAGGAGCGTAACAATGTGACCCAGGTGGACCCTATGGTCCAGTCTCACCGTTCTTGAGTCAGACCACTGGTCCACCCAGTTCAGCATTGACTCCATTGACTGGAAGTGGCTCTTCATGATTTCAAATATGAAACTTTCCCAGATGTATCCGGAGTTCTGAGGGGCCTAACTTGGGACTGTCTGGCTGCAAAGCATGTGCTCTACCCATGAGGTGCTCCCATTCTAAATTTGTCTCCCATCCGCAGTCCTCAGAGGCGTTTCGTTCCAACTAGGGGAAGATGACCTTGCGTTGCTACGTAGCACCTCCCGGCTCTCACCTTCACCTCTTCAGCACTCTCACTGTCTTCTGAACCAATTCTAACCTCTCAAACCCTACAGGGCCCTCACTCTGCTCCCTCAACACAACACTCCTGCCAACTGTTCATGCTCCCTTTCCTTATTCCTGCAGACAAAGCTAAACTCCCAATTCCTTTTTCATGCCCATTTTAAATAGACAACCCTTCCTCTGTTCTGCCATTCTCCTTCCCCCCCCCACCCTCCCGTTGTTCTCTTTGCCATTAGTTCAAATTGTTTTGGTCCTGTTAATATAGGCAGATTTTAACAGGGTATCAACAAACCTGCTTAGAATTTTGAAGGCTTTACTAGAAACTCTTCATGATGTCCTGACAGGACAGCACAACTCTCACTACAGTGGTAACATTCAAAGCAGGGGTTAATCCGTTCCGGATTAACCCTTGCTATGTGAAACATCGCTCAACGGAACCGAAAACGCCATAGAAACGCATTAAACTTAGTTTAATGCGTTCCTATGGCTCTTAAACTCACCGTTGAGCGAAGTTCCTCCATAGCGCAGGCATTTTCGCGCCCTCGGTAAGCAAGGGCAGGGCGCGAAAACGCTTTGCGCGGCCATTTTTTCCTTCCGGCGGCCATTTTGGAAACGCCGATCAGCTGTTCTTCCGACATCACTATGCGACCCATTTTGGAAACGCCGATCAGCTGTTCTTCTGACATCACTATGCAACCAATCGGTAAGCGAAACGCTTACCGATCGTCGCACAGCGATTTTTGCCCATAGGGGCCATTGGTATGCGATCGCAAAACCCCCCTCGTTATGCGGATTCGTCGTTGTACGGTGTGCTCGTTATGCGAGGCCCCACTGTACTTCTCTCTCTCTCTCTCTTCATGTCTCATTTGCACACCCACACAGGATTTAAATCGGGATCTAGCAAAGGGGGATTTGCGCAATGCAAAACTCACGTATCCAGGTTGTGCAGGGAAAAAGGCTGCGTAGAGAAGCGAATGTAGCTGTGCCGGTAGAACCAAATGGTAAGGGGATTCCAGTCGGTCACCAGGAACCACTGGCGCAGATCAAACTTGGTGCCAAAGATGAGCAAGGGTGTCTCGATGTATTTCTGTACAACCCACTTGCCATCCTTGACAATCATGGGGTCACAGTCCACTAGCTTCACAATTTCCTCTAAGCGGTCCATGCACATGATACCTGTGAGAAGCAACAGAATGCCACAGATCAGGCATGCTGTTGACGCAGACGCATTTCACTGCAACTTTTCAACCCTCGTTTCATCTGTTTTTAGGTGACTTCATTTTATTAAATCGTATTCTCACTGGCAAGTGTTGGTTTGGCCAGAAGATGCAGATCAGGTGCACTCCTATATCGCTCTTACCAAGCCATAAGAACACAGGGTGAGCCTTATACTGAGTCAGATCATTAGCCAGTGTAGCTCAGTACCATATTTTTCCATGTATAAGACTATACTTTGTCTAAAATCTTTCCTCAAACAGAGCAGAAGCCTCTTTCTGCATAGATCAACAGAACAGACATCCTCTCGTAACCCAAATAACCTTACAGAAGAGAGGTTCCACTTTTGAGGGCAACAAAGTTAACAGAGATCTTTAATCAAGATGCAATCCACTGCAGCATTCTTCTTGATGCAATTTGGACAATTAGCCCCTTTCTCAACGTGCAGCTTCCCTTCTCTTACCTCTGCCACGGGATTTGGCTCCTGGCTTAACAATCCAGATGTTCCTGTCGCCTTCCATGCCCAGTTGTGGAACGACTTTTGCCAGTCGGTACAAGATATCTTCACATCGCTCAACATGAGCCACTGTCTCCGTTGTCTCTGTCCCGTCACTGTAACCACTTAGAACAAAGGCCTCAACCGTCATTCTGCTATTGTGCCTCAGTCAATTCAAACAAGTACCTACATGCTATACATCTGCCTCAATCGTGACTGAGTCTACATTTCCCAACACAGACTTCAGTCTACGTTCTAAGGTCAGCACAAAGCTTAATAAAAGAAACCTTGAAAGCCAGAGCTTGGAAGTAACATATTTAAAGGAATAACATTACTGGTACCAGATAATTTTTCAGATAACTATGTTCCCAGCCTTGTTACTTTACATAATAAGTGTGGCTGATTTTTTTTAACCGGTCATTTGGGGATATCCATTTCAATACAGTGGTGCCTCGCTTAACGATTGCCTCATTAAACGACAAAACCGCTATATGATGACTGTTTTGCAATTGTTTTTGCAATCGCAAAACGATGTTTTAATAGGCAAAATTCGCTTCCTGACGATCGGTTCCCTGCTTCGGGAACCAATTCTTCGCATTACAATGTTTTTAAAACAGCTGATTGGCGGCTTCAAAATGGCCGCCCGCTGTGTAAAAGGGCTCCCTCCTGTGTTTTTGGATGGATTCCTCGCTAGACAGGCACCGAAAATGGCCGCCCCTATGGAGGATCTTCGCTGGACGGCGAATTTTTCAGCTGATTGGAACGCATTGAACGTGTTTTCAATGCGTTTCAATGGGATTTTTATTTCGCTTAACGAGGATTTCGCTCTACAGCAATTTTGCTGGAACAGATTATCCTCGTTAAGCGAGGCACCACTGTATTTTCAAGTGTATTGTTAAAAATATACTAAGCAGCAACTTCCTAGCAGCCACTAGAACAGCAAGACACTTTTAACAAAGAGTAACAATAGGTTGCTTTGGTAACAGATGGCCACCGCTGCAGTCATCTGTGCAATAGATTGTCTTTAAAACTAGAGTGTTGCCTTTCAAATATTATATTCTGAACTCTGCTGAAAGTTTGCAGGGGGTTCTGTTCACCATCTAGATCCTAGGCCCCCCAAAGAAATAAGCTCTCATGTGACTGACATTTCTAACAGTCAAAGAAGAGGAATTCTGCCCATAGCAAATTGTGCCTATTACATTATTTCAATTAACTGTGAATTGCTTTGGGCATTCTACGGGGAGGAAGGCAGCATATTAAGTACATATATACAATTTGTGTTTTAGTTTTACCTACTGTATCCCATCCGTAAGGATCAAGCGGCAAACCCAAAGCATAAGTCTTAAATTTTCTTTGAGAACCAGATTCCATTCTCTCAAATTACTTGGGGGTGTGTGTGGAACAGTGTGGGAAGGGGATGCCCCTAAATCAGAACAAGTACATACACATGATGAAGATTTACATTAATACAGTTTATTTATTTATTTATTTATTTTATTTATATCCCGCCTATCTAATCAACCAAGATTACTCTAGGCAGCTTACAACAATAAGATCTGTTTCATGTCCCCTGTATGTAAATCCAGCCATATAATCTTAGAAACGGGCACTGGTTGAATTCCTGATCCTCTATACAGTATATACTTACTGGACAACCTGATAGTAACCTTCCATAAACTCTTCCCAGTTTTCCTTTGCGAACAGCAAGGATGATCCAGATTCTCTGTCAATGTCCTGGTGCTTCAAGCTGCTCAGGTGCTCCTCACAGGCACGAATTGCAGTCTGAATCAGACGGGCTGAGAGACGAACTCCTCTCTTATGGCCAATCCCCTGCTTGGTCCCTGCAAACGAAAAGCTGTTGAGCCATTTCTCTCTTGGGCACATAATAGGACTGCCTGATTTTGGGGGGGGGGGGGGGGGGCAAGGGGGCGGGGGG